AAGAGAGTAATTCTATGATCATTAATAAATATTTATAAAGCCCCCACATCTTGCAAAACAGGCTAGGAACTATTACAAACTCCCCACTATGATGCACAGCATTGTTTTTTCTTTACTTTTGACTTGCTGATTTTAAGTGCTATTACAGTCAAAACAGGCAAAAATATACAGTAGCAAAGCTGGTCTTCAGAATTCCCTCACCCCCAATCTGTACTTAAAAAATGTACCTGCGCCCTCATGATCAAGGTGTTCTACCTGTTTACTCTAACCCAGATAATGCTACTTAGAGTGGACTGGTCTCTCCCCAGACCTACCATATTCCCACACCATCAAAACTTACCTACCCAGATTTCATAATTTCCACAGGGGCCCGAGTCTTCTCTGTAAGAAATTATGTAATCTGATAAACTACTGTGGCACTTGGCAGTCAAAACACAAGTTGCTTTTTCAGTGGTGAAAAATTTCAATAGGATAGATTTCAATTACAGATTTGTGACCCTCAAATATTACTATATAAAAATCCTCCGTACTAAGTCTGTACTTCAGTCTTACCCTAAAAAAGTATGAATTCAAAAAATTTTAACAAGTCACCTTAAAAATACTATATCCACTATGTTCTTTTTTTTAAAATTTTTTTAACGTTTATTTATTTTTGAGACAGAGGGAGACAGAGTGTGAGTGGGGGAGGGGCAGAGAGAGAGAGACAGAGAGAGAGAGAGAGAGAGAGAGAGAGAGAGAGAATGTGAAACAGGCTCCAGGCTCTGAGCTGTCAACACAGAGCTCGATGTGGGGCTCGAACCCACGAACCATGAGATCATGACCTGAGCCGAAGTCGGATGCTCAACTGACTGAGCCACCCAGGTACCCCAACATGGCAAATACTTCAAACTAGTAACTGGTACATAGCAATCAACACATATCAGCTGTTAGTAGTAGTAGTATTACCAGCAACAACACCTACTAAGCTACCTGCAGGAGCTCTAACAATCTCCTTCTGAATCCATCATGTTTTTAACAATCCTAAATCAAAGGTTTCTCCTTTTTATGTGAAAAGAGTCTCCAACCCCAAAACCATTTCCTCTTTTCTTTGGTGGTTTGTGAATATGGAAGGTAGTAACTGGTGTCTTTATCATTTCAAAACTCCAGACTTTTTTTAGTTTGTTTTTTTTTTTAATAATAAAATTCCCTTCCAAATATTATACAAAGGACAGATTGCTCCAAGGATTATAAACACTACAAAGAGTTCACAAAGTGTAGTGAAAAATTGAGATTCATAACCAAATAGCTACCACAGCAAAAAGCTTAGATAAGAAATGATACAGAAGTCCATTAGCCTACTCAAAAAATACTGAATTCTAAAATAAAGCACACAGGTAGAGATCCACCATAGTTTATAGTCATTCAAATCACCAAAAACATAGAGGATGTTTTGGGTAATTTTTTTTTTCCTTAATAGCAGGAAAATCCCCTGTGTCTTCACAACAATGAACACATGACATGATAGGCATGGACTATTTCTTCAAAAACAAATTCTATAAAGAAGAAAAGCCTAAAGGCTCAGATTTTCAGCCACACGTATCCCTTACTTACAGCTTTAAAAATTTAAGGCATCTAGCATTTTTCCTGGTAACATTAAAATGAAACAAGCCTCATTTCTGACAGAAAACATTATGCTTGACTGAAAGAAAACTAAGCATCTAAAATTTTGATACTTATAAATTTAAAGGTAATTTAAAGGGTCAACTCAAAGATCAAGTAGATATGAGGTCATGATAAATACACCAAAATATTTTTTAATAATCTAAAGACAAAGATCCATTTTAAACAATTTAACATAAAGTTCTATGTCTTAGATATTGAAGTAGGCACTTCCATACACATTATGAAACTTCATTCTCCCAATAACCATATGGGATAAGGATTATGGTCTTCCTTTTACAAATGAGATAACTAAGGCCCAGTGATTTGCCCAAAGGCACTTACTTGTATAAGATTTAATCAGAAATCCGTTTCAAATTTTCTGAACCCCCTAGTTCAATGCTCTTGCTTTCAGTATACCACTGTCACTTCCAAAACTCAAGTACTCTACATCTTAGTTCTTATAAAGTGTGCCAATCTTTTTATCTGGGAGAGAGAACAGTTATAAGGGGAAGAAAAATTATTCATAATTTACCAAAAAAGACTCACTGAGCTTATTAATCCCATGATTACCCAGTTCAATTTAAATGCTTTGGTTCATGCTGTCTACCCCCTTAAAACACCTGCTTATCTTCAGACATACAGCTTTCTGCAAAACCCAACTCACGAATTACCTCTTCTAAGAAAGTTTCCCAGTTATGACCTGCTCCCTTCCTCCTAATCCAACATCCTTCCTTATCACCTCACTCCTTGTATCTATTTCGGACTACATTATCACACACTCCTTTTCATTCTCCTGTTATATATCTGGAACTGTATGTTTTCATTCAGTAACTATTAAGCATTTGCAGAGTGGATGGTGAGCAAAAAAGACAGGCCTGTGCTATCATAGATGGTTTACAGGGTTTGCAACTTTAAAAAAGGTAAAAATAACATGGGGTGTAAGAGTATGATCAAGGACAAGCATTCATTTCCTACAAGGCCTCTGAAGAAAGCTTTCTCCCTTGCATACTTGATAAAACTTTTTCAGGGAGGAAGAAGTCTGGAAGGTCTCTCAGATCAGACCTTCAACTTCATGCCTTCGAGAAAATGAGGGAATGGAATGGGGAACCAAGATAGAAAGGACAGATCTAAAATCTCTCAGGGGTTTCCCACACATGGACGTGAAATCTACCTCTACAGGTTAGTCCAGACATCCCTTCCTGAGTTGTATCCACAAGAAAATGATACTTTAGCTACAACTGCTCCAATCAAGCATCTCCACCAATCTCCTTGCACCCAGCCACCTTCATTATGCAGTACTCAGAGGCTTTTCAATTCAAATTGTATATATGCATTACATGTACGCCATATTCACAAGGCACAAGCAGGACTTACGCCTTCTACTTTTGAACTCTTGATGCTCCAAGATCATTGCTATAAGTGTGTTCAGCTTGGGGTATTATATTCAAATATAATACTTCAGGTGTTGCTATTAGCATAATAATTTTCCACAAAATTTGAAAACTACATCTAAGCATCAATTCCTATTTTGTCACCCATGCTCTAAGGAACCTGCTCTTGAAGGATTATTTCTAAACCAAGTTTAAATGTAGGAGGAGTACTCACTAAAGAAATTCTGCAATTTGTTCTTTAACAAGGCCAAATTTATAAGTGCCATAAATGTGCTATAAGAAACACATCTGATTGCCTCCAAAATGTAATAATATTCTAACTGAAAAATGACAGCAGCATCTTTTCCATCACAGACACCACACTAATATTCAATAAGAAATAAACCATAGCCATTTTTAATCAAACCATTTCTAAGCAGCTGTAACGTATTGTGGCTCAAACGGTTCACATGGAAATTGACCGCAACAACCTAATCTCCATAATTAAAGACCTAAAAAGTAATTCTTATGTTTCATCTATTCCTTTTCCCAGCACTTTGAACAGGCATATTGTAGTCATCTCATACACAGTTACTAACAAAAAAGGGGCAACAAATATGTAAAATTAGCTATATCTTCTATAAAGGACAAACTGCATAGCCTTACTCTCCCTTCCCCAACCTGTTCTATAAAACTAGCATGATCTTAATTTCACTGTAAAACAGGTTCTAGCAAGCATAAAAATTGACCATAGTCGCTAAGCATGATCAACTTTAGATAACACCTGATGGAATGAAGAGGCCCTAACAAGCAATTCACCCATGTCTCTCCACAATCCTTGCTTTCTTTGGAATCCTAAGGGAGGCAAAAACAAAAAACCAAAAAAAAAAAAAAAACAAAAAACAAAAAACAAAAAGCAAACAAACAAACAAACAAAAACAACCACACACACACCAAACCTGTTTTAAATGATTATCTGAAAAGACCTAAAGTGGCATTATTTGAGGCTAAGTTTCAGGGGGCATAAGTAAAAACTAATAACCCTACCATACATGGGACATTCTAATACTAATTAGAAGTCACTCAGCTCCTCTAGGATTAGAAAGGCAAAAACTTCATTAAACTATTGAACGCAAATATGCTTACACCATAAGTTAGAGAAGTTTTCCCATCTGTTTAAATAGGCGCCCAAGTTATCTATTATTTCAAACAGCATTTAGATAAAATGAAATTAGGCAAGTTCCCCAAGGCAGATGTCTTTCATAAGGAAGAGTGTGTTAAATGACTTTTGTGAATGGAAAATCTGTAAGTACTGTTGCTTCACTCAGCTGGTCTTGAGTGGGTGGCTCAATGAACCAGAAGCATGCTCCATTGGAAGCTCCTTAGAACCGGATTCCACCCTTGAGAAAAGGCTTGGAAACAAACAATACATTTAAAAGTACAGCAAAGGCTTCGCCTTCCTCCCATGTTACACGGAGGCCACAGGAACTGAGTTGAGAGCAACAACACCGTGTCACCGTGTCGGCTCTGCAAGGGCGGGTGCGGTCTGCGGTTCGCGGCACAGCCTCTTCTAGGGCTGTCACAGGAAAACTGGAGCCTCGCCTTAACCGCACCAAGTGACAAAGCGCCAGCTCTCCCCCGGGCGGGGGCTTCCGGCGAGACCCCGAGGTCGGCCCAAACTTCGGGAAGAGTCACTCGGGGCAGTCAAAATGCTCTTACCCACCCACCCCCCCACCGCCCCTTCCGCGGCTATGTAAGGTTTGCAGACGCACGTCCTGTGGGCCCCAAAATACTCCACCCCCGCCAGCCTTTGGAATCCCCCACTCCGAAAAGGGACAAAGGAGCCAAAGAGGAACTCTCCGGCTCGGGGAGTCCCCACTGGCCCGAGCTCAGAACGTGGGGATGGGGGTGCAGTCTCCCGGAGGGGTGCGGACCCGCCCCCCCCCCCCCCCCCCCCCCCCCCGACCCAGGGACCGGCGTGACACTCACCGGTGCGGAGCCCCCGGAGAGGCGGGGAGGAGCAGGCCGATTCCTCCGGGGCCCTGCACGCGGCCGGGCGGACCCCAACTTCTCTCGGCTGCTGTCGCCGGAGGCAGCTAGGGCGCGAGCCCAGACCGAGGGCGCTGGCTCGCGGCCGCGGAGGCGCTGCCGCTCAGCCCGCGAGGGGGGCGGGAACTCGCGGCCCGCGGTCCTCTGGCCAGGGCGGGCTCCACTTTCCCTCCGTCCGCCCGCTACTGGCTGCGACCACTGCCGCGGCGAAAGCTAACGCTGCAGCCACTCGGGCTACAGCTCCCACCACCGCCTGGCCCCGAGCGCGTCGCGGCCTAATGTTGTCATGCGCCGCGTCGCCGCCTCTCTCAGCACCCACAGCAGCCAAGATCCTCTACATTCGGGCGCCCTCCCCCTCCAGGCCCCGCCCCCAGCTCGCGGGCTCCAGCCACCAGCCCCCCCCCTCTTTCCCGTCACGTGACGGCGCGCGGAGGCGGCCGCGGAGACGCCTCCCCGGCGGGCCGGGAGGGAGTCGCGCGGGAACAACTGTCAACACCTAGTTCTGCCAGAGTCTTATCGCATCCGAATTGCCTCCGCACACCCGAGGGCGGCTTCGGGATTCGAGCCCACCGCCGCCCGCCCGTGATCTACTGAGGCGTGGTCTGGACCGGTCTTGCACGGCCCTGCCTAACCTGAGAAGACTGCACAATAGAGCTCACTGGTATTGGCCCAGGACCCCACGCCCACTCGGAGGCCCGGAGGCCCGAGCTTGAGACCCGCCTCCCCAGCCTCCGCTAGACTAAAGTTTTAGACAAAGGAAAAAAGAAGGCATCGTGGTGTCTGGCTTGAAAAGCAGTAACAAATTGTTCCTATTTCTAGTACCACGTTAATTGTGGCATTTAATTTACTGTCTTCCTCATTAGAGTTTGTTTTTTTTTTTTTTTGGTTGTTTTTTTTTGTTGTTTTTTTTTTGTTTTTTTTTTTTT